GTCCGTCCGGCTCCGCGCGCTCGCGCTCACACACAAAGACCGAATCTCGGCGAGCATCGAGAGAGAGCAGAGTCAGAGCACAGAGGACTCACATAACTCATTTTTCATGTACAACTACACGACTCTACCCAATTGAACGAACGGAGGCCTGAGAAAAATTCTTTTTTGCACGACACTGAACAGACAAACCCAAATATGCATAAAACGACTAACGAGGGATGGGGCTTGGGGGAGGAGGACAGGGTCCACACCTACGAGCAGGAATTTGGAAAGACATTCAGGGGGATAGACACGTAACCGCTAGCGCGGCATATCCTTTTTTTCTCGGACGCCTCTTCGATCGGCGCCCGATCCACCTTGTGGCATGAAGATCCTATTCTCCGCAGTGTTCAAGCCTGGCACCGAGGCGCCCGGCAAGGACGGCCCTGTCATGCTATCGCAGGCCGCCGAGCTCTCCTCCCTCGGCTTCTTCCAGCGCAGTACCGCGAAGGAAGTCTTTGTCATGTTCTCGCGGCAGTTTGCAAAGGCGTCCACGGAGCCAGGGCAGCGCTCGTCCGTCCGGAAGGACGGGTACATGAGCCACGTGTACCACTCGCCCATGGGCGTCGTCGCCGTCTGCTTCGCTGACGACGAGTGCGCGCCCGCACCGCCGCCGCCGCCCCACCCCACAGCGCCCTCTCACACCTCTCACACAGCTGGAGATGGGGTCGGAGGGCCGCCGCAGCGAGGAGAGGAGGCGCAGCGAGGCGGAGGGTGGGCGACTGGCCCGTGCTGCCGCGGCCGCGGTGCCGCGAAGCGCGCCGCGGTAGCGCGAGTACAGAGCGGCACCGCTAGAGCACAGAGAACGCTCCTTGCACCTCCTCCTCCTCCTCCTCCTCCTCCTCCTACTCCTCCTCCTCCTCCTCCTCCTCCTCCTCCGCGCCACCCCTCGTCCTCCTCACACCACCGCTCCGCCGCCCTCCCCGCAGGTACCCGCAGCGTGTCGCCTTTGGCTACTTGTCAAAGGTGCCAGCTTGGAGAGACGGAGAGAGACAGACTGGAGAGAGAGAGAGAGAGGGAGAGAGAGAGAGAGAGGGAGAGAGAGAGAGAGAGGGAGAGAGAGAGAGAGAGAGAGAGAGAGAGAGAGAGAGAGAGGGAGAGAGAGGGGGGGGAGAGAGAGAGAGAGAGAGAGAGAGAGAGAGAGAGAGAGAGAGAGAGAGAGAGAGAGAGAGAGAGCGAGAGAGAGAGAGAGCGAGAGAGCGAGAGAGCGAGAGCGAGAGAGAGAGAGAGAGAGAGAGAGAGAGAGGGAGCGAGAGAGAGAGAGAGAGAGAGAGAGAGAGAGAGAGAGAGAGAGAGAGAGAGAGAGGGAGGGAGGGAGAGAGAGAGAGAGAGAGAGAGAGAGAGAGAGAGAGAGAGAGAGAGAGGGAGAGGGCAGAGGGCTGCGGGGAGGTGGCTAGCGGGGCTCTGGCAGCGATCCGGCAATCGGGTGTGGCAATCGGGTGTGTGTGTGTGTGTGTGTGTGTGTGTGTGTGTGTGTGTGTGTGTGTGTGTGTGTGTGTGTGTGTGTGTGTGTGTGCGTGTGTGTGTGTGCGAGTCTCCCCCCCGGAGGTGACCTGGCAAATCACGCGCCCTGGCGAGAGGCCGTTGGATGCACACTCGGCCTGGGCGGCGGTGGCGCGCGCGGCGTTGAACTCGTACGTGTGCAGCCGGGCGGTCGGCCCCACCGCGCGGGCGAGCGCGTGCGACAGCGATCCGGAGCCGGTGCCTGCCTCGACGACGACGGCGCCGGGTCCGAGCTCGAGCTGGAGGCAGATCATCGAGATGTCGGCGATGTAGAGGATCTGGGTGCGGTGGGAGAGCGAGGCGGTCCACAGCTCCGGTGTCGGGCGAAGCAGGTACACGTACTTTCTCCCGTCGAGCGAGAGTAGCTGCGCGCCGTACCGCCGGCCCACCATATCATTGTGCCGGAAGGCGCCGAAGCGGTTGTTGAGCGTTTTGCCCGGCTCGACCCGCAGCGCGCTCATGTGC